CGAGAATTACCAGTGGCAAGCATTAATATTCCGTAAAGATACATACCGTTTTTGTTGTTCAGAAGGGCGGATTTACGTAGATGATACAGCCCTGTGTTTTCTTCCTTGTGGTGGAAGAATCGAAGCACACCCTCAATATAATGGGCTTCAGGATTGTCATGAGTCAAACATAACTCCTTCAGCCTATAATGCTCCCAAACCATACTTAGCGGTGCGGCGGAAAAATATCTGAGACTCATGTCTCTGAAATAGCTAGAAGGGTCAGGATTAGAGTAGTCGTCAACGTCGGAATCGTAGTTGAAGTGAGCATGGTCGTAATTGTTGATTGAGTGTTGGGATGCCATCATAAAATGAAATTAGTCTTTTGGGAGAAGATGTTCTATTTGAGTTAGGGGAAGTGAGTTATCTAAATATTGTAGAACTGCCTATGAAGCATGCAGCATTTATAGGCGGAAATAAATTTATTTGGAGCAATGCCTCATGGGTTGTCTTTTCTAATAACTTTTTTTGGTTAAAAGAGAAGCATGCAAGAGTGACTGAACCGCTTGGAACTTGATCCATGCCTGATCTGTGTCTAGACTTCTGTAGGCTTGGTTTTTGTGTTTTCTTTTTACTTTACCATGACTTCTCTTCCTTTCTCTTCCTTCTCGGTTGAACTTGACAGTTATTATCCAGTTTCATAGTGAAAAATTTCTTTAAAAAGTATGGGTTATGAAAAAAGGTTCGTTAACACCTCATAATATGTCTAAAAACATTATATTAATTGTTGTTTATAAGTTAGGGAATGTAGTTTAACCGTTTATAAGTTATGGTAGTTAGTTTATAATAATTGTTAATAAATAAAACATTAATTGTGTTTCAAAGGAAAATGCTCGCAAAACAAGCAAAGTAAATCAGCTATAAGTTTTAAAAAATCAGCTAAGGACAAACTCTTTGATTGGTGTTGTCTATAAGGACAAACTCTTTGATTGGTGTTGTCTATAAAGACAAACTCTTCTTATTTTTTTATGCTTACCAAAATATGATCCTGTTACAAAAGCAACGAGTAAAAAAAGATACATCAAGAACATGCTACAAAAGCAACGAGTAAATTTTGCAACTGAGATGACAATACTATATGAACCATGCAAAAATAGATTTTACATGTGTCATCCAACATCATGTCCTATCACATCATCAAGCTTCAAACAAATTACTTAACTAGGGTAAAATATTGAAAGCATGTAAAGTGTAATAAATCTATTATGTTCACCTATATTTATCAAGTTCCTGTTGCTAACTGTAATAAATTTTGCAGTCTGTATTAATATGTTTAATGTTTAATATTGTCTCCATAGAACAAAATATTAGTGAATTACTAATATGCCTTATACCAAACTTTTGATGACCAAAGATACAAAGAAGAATGTATTATTTATATGTGAACTTGATATGCCTTTCCTAAACACTCAATCGTATCTAACCTAGATTTCGAAAATCCTGTACTGGCGGTTTGATATATACTAATGATTTTTCAGACAAGAGAATTATGGGAACACAATATTTATTACAAAAATCTTGATCTTATTTTTAATGGAAATAGAAAATTCCTCCTAATGTCATTATTGAAGATCTCGAGTTTGTCCATTTTAAAGAATTTGACATTTAATATATGGTAAGTTCATTAACTTCAAAGAAGAATATTTCCATTATATTACTTGACCTACTTTTTGGACCTAATGTACCGTCGTAGTATATAACATTACGTTACTAATTTTCTCCTATCATAAATACTATCACCTTATGAGCAAAAAAGTGTTTTCATCGTAAACTATGGCAAATTTTGATCAAATCTCTGATTTGAAACCTTTCAAAACTATGTGGAGAATCAAGGTGAAGATAATTCGGCTATGGAAAAAATACTCTGGTCGAGGTGGGGAGAGCATTGAGATAGTTTTAGTCGATTCAAGTGTAAGCTATGTGATAACATTTGATTACCATTCATATTATAATATATAGGCATTTATTTTCCTCTTTTATATATACATGTTTGCATTTTTTTTTTACCTTTTTCAGGGTGATAAGATACATGCTACTGTATCTAATGATTTGGTGTCACATTTCGATGGGAGGCTATACGAAGGTTGCTCAAAATTATTGATTAATTTTGTAGTTGCCCACGCTTGTGGATCATATCGAACAACCAAACATGCTTACAAGATAGGGTTTCTACCTTTGACCCGTCTTCGAGTTTGTGAAGATCTACCTCTACGAGTCACTGGATTACAGCCAGTGCATTATCGTGGAATTTTGGATGGAAGTTTAAATACCGACTTTCTGATTGGTGAGTTATCCTTTTCTCTCACGAAAGTTATCAAATAAATTGGATTAGTTACTCACTTATATATCTTCCTATTATACATTATATATTGTTATTATGTAGATGTTATCGGTCAGGTTGTTAACGTTAGTCCTCTGGAAATTATCGCCGTCAATGGAAAAGACACAGAAAAGATTTCTTGTGACCTACGGAATGAAGAGTAAGTTATACATGACCAACAGTTTATATATTTTATTTTATTGGGTTTGTCAGGAAAATGGTTTACCAATAGTGTTTCGATTGTTATTTTTTATCGTGTAGAGATATTAGGCTTTCATGTGTTTTATTCGGACAAAAAGCATTCGATCTTCTCGATGCAATTCAACTTCGTAGTGAGCAATATGTTATTTGTGTATTGAGATTTGTGAAGATCAGAGTCTTCAAAGGTACTCAGATGTGTTATGTTTAAAACTATGATAAGTTCTACACATTAATATTTTTCTCACTTTGTTGTTATTGTTGATATGGATATACAGACGATCGAAGTATATCAAATGCATATAAGGTGTCCGCTCTAGCTATTAATCCCTCAATGCATGAAGTTGAAGTGTTTCAAGCATTGTACGTTTGAACTTAGAATGCTTTTAAGTTTATTTGTTTTGTTTTTATGTCATTTTTAATGTTTGTCACTGGTTTCTAATATTGAACAGGTTCCCAAAAGATGGTTTGCCTTTGGATATTGTCAGTGCCAAACCTATTTGCATGGATTCAATGATTTCGGAGAAGGAAGATTTTTTTATACATACTCCAAGGAAAACGTTCTCGGAGGTTCTGGAGACCAGAAATGTTTGTTCTCTGAACCCAAGCAGATATATTGTTAATCTTATTTTTTTATTTAAGTAATAATTTCACAATTAATTTTTGTAGGTTGAGAGATGTATTGTTATGTGTACAATAGCTGCGATTGATGAGGACATGGGTTGGTACTATTTGAGTTGTAAAGTCTGTGCAACTAAAGTATTGACCGTGCCAAATGAATATGATGATGCAGTCATTGCTATTCTCGATGGTGGACACAAGTACTATTTTGCTAGATGCAAGATTGTCCATCCCAAGCTATTACCAAGGTAGCTTGTGCGTATAATAAGTTACATCTTTTATTTTATATAAATATAAGTATATGGGACGGTTGAATATTTAAATGATAAACCTATTTTTTACAATATAGGTACAATTTTCATTTGGTTGTACTTGATAATACAAGTAACACCAAATTACATTTGGCTGATCATACCGCATTCCAGTTACTCCACCAACCCTGCGTTGAGTTAACTGGGAAGGTCACAACTGAGGTATCATGTGTTACTTTAGTATGGATAATCTATGTTCAATTTGGCAGTGTGGCCTTTTTAATGCAGTTGTTTTTATCCTTACTATTTTTAAATTGAAGTTCCTGCTTCTTTACCTAAGGCTTTGACAAATTTGTTGGGTAAGACGTATTTGTTTAAGATCCTTATCGAGAAGGATAATTATCTATACAAGCACGAGACATACAAGGTCATCAACATAATTACAAACGAAAGCATGGTTAATGAGTTTGATGTCAGCTATTATCCTACGGTATGTTAACCTTTTTTTTTTTACAACCGAAATGGCATTTGTTTTTTTTTCATAAAATGATTATTTAGTAACTCTAATGGTATTCAATTATTTCAGGGAAGTCAGCACAGCTCACCGTTTTTAAAACTTCATAGAAAAATCGAGGTAATTTTTACTCTTTAATGGTACCTTAATTTGTAATTTTTTTTCTATGTTACTTATATGAACGTTTAAATTGTATCAGGGTTCCGTGAAGAAAATTGGTAGTTCCTCCCAATCAATAAAATCTACTAAACTCACACCAACTAAACGGTCTGGAATCCCGATTAGAGATTTGTTGCAAGACTTTGACGAGAATAGTGATACAAAAGATGCGTACAGACCGAAGATTAAGAAGGAAGAGAATGAATTAAGTGGCTGAAGATAAAAGCATCTGATTCCAATGAAAGAGGCTTTTTTTTTAAATTCAGTTATTTATAAGTATGTTTGCCTGTTTTGTTTTATTTTATTATAATGTTTCAATTTTAGAATTTTTGAACCTACGCTGTTTTTATGCTTGCTTACTTAATATAAAGCCTCTTTCTAATTATGACTTTTAAAAATTCTACTCCCGCTACTTGATTCTAGGTCTAACATATTTCATTGATAACTTGTATTACAAGTAATTGGTAGTTCATCTTAACATTCAGGTCTATGTCTAACTAACCACAGTTAGTTCGATAATGAACTATTATGACGAGGAATTTTCTTCTATAATTAAACAATAACCATATTTATTGTAATTAACGATAACCATATTTAATAAAAAAATCATTGATCGCCAGCCTTTCAGCTCTACCTGTAAATATTGTTTTAAAAAAAGATAAAGAAATTTTTTTAAGAATCTGGTTTAAAGATATGTTGTTACCATAAGTAATATCTTTTAAACTTCTTTCACAAGTCTTTTGGGATACCAATATAACAAATTTTTTTTATAGAATCTATAATATTCTCCTTTTCGCAAAATATGGAATCCTGAACGCAATCAGTCCTTAAAACCTAGATTGTTTGACCCCTATATAACCTAACTTTCTCCACACATAATGGTAAATAAGAGAATTTTATGGCTATGGTTACAAACAGCAAAATCAGTTTCTTGAGCAATCTCAAACCATTTAAAATTTCTTGGAAGATTGAAGTTAAAGTTATTCAGAAGTGGGCACAACCCTCAAACCGTTCTGAAGGAGACACATTGGAGTTCATACTCGAAGATCAAATGGTATGTCTTTCTTTTTAACCTATTTGTGCACTATAATTAATTGGAAATCTACTACTATACCTGCACTTACAATTATTTATTTGGTAGGGAACCAGCATACATTGTATCTGTAAGAGTCTCTTCGTTGATCGTGTTAAGGATTTTCATGTTGGTGAATGGAGGGTCGTCGAGAATTTCTCCCTGATCCCGGCTATGGGGTTATACAAAAGAACCAGCCATCCATTCAAGATTTCCATCATAGATAGTACTATCGTCACCGAGCCTTCTCCGACTACCTGCGAGGTACCACAATTTGTTATGCTTCTACTTTACTTATTAATGAGAAGGATTGTTTAGTACTTGACTAGAACTATCTAATGGTTGTCTAGATGATTAATCATAACAAAGACTATGAGAAAGGAGCTGGTTCCAGTTCTTCTTCATCTAAGCGCAAGGAAGGAGATACTGATCTTAATGACATGAATTCTCCAGCCAAGAAGTTATGTTCTAGATTTTGAAACTGGAGTACACAAAGGAAGTTTAGCTTTATTGTTGAGTCATGTTGTTTCGAGATTTACAGTTTATCTTTTCAAATTTGCTTTGTTATTTCAATTCTTTTTATTCAATCCTGCTTCTAATAAAGCTAAACTTGGTTATTGCTTAAACTTCCTTTGTGCCCAGTTAAACTCAATCTGATAATTTCCTAACCAGAAAGCTAACATCTAACAGATCAGTAAAGTAACTTTTTACGCCATTAATAATAACAATTTTATTGTTTAACAATTTTATTATATTAATATCCTAAGTTTGACATGATTAATATTGATACAAATTATCTTACTTTCAATATGCAGATCTTTGTTTGAGTGATGCAGAAAAAAAACAATATGCTCTTATTGAGATTGAGAAGCTTCTAAAGAGTAACGGTTCTTCTTTGGAGAACTGGAAATCTATGCCTAAGCCGATACCAGACGTTGTTAATAACAATGCATTGATCATGGACGAGCTTAGTTACAACCGAGAAGAGTTACAATCTGTCCTTCATCATGACATTCCAAAACTAACGGAGGAGCAAAGGAAGATTTTTGACGAGATTACTGATGCTGTTTTCACACAACGTGGAGGTGTTTTTTTTGTAAATGGATTTGGTGGTACAGGCAAAACTTTCTTGTGGAGATTGCTTTCTGCTGCAGTACGTGTCAGGGGTGAAATATGTCTGAATGTTGCTTCAAGTGGTATAGCCTCTTTGTTGCTTCAGGGGGGAAGGACTGCACATTCTCGATTTGGAATTCCCATCAATCCCGATGAGTTCTCTACTTGCACACTTACACGGGGAAGTGATCAAGCGGATCTGGTGAAAGCAGCCTCACTTATAATATGGGACGAAGCTCCAATGATGCACAAGCATTGTTTCGAGGCACTGGATAGGAGTATGTTGGACATTTGTCGAGATAGCGAAAATAGACCTTTTGGTGGCAAAGTTGTCGTTTTTGGTGGGGATTTTAGACAGGTATTGCCAGTCATTAATGGAGCTGGAAGGGCTGAGATTGTTATGGCTGCTCTGAATTCATCTTATCTTTGGAAGCATGTAAAGGTTTTGCAGTTAACCAAGAATATGCGGCTTGAGTCAAATAATTTGTCCCCTGAAGAGGCAAAAGATTTGCAGGAGTTCTCACAATGGATATTAGACATTGGAGATGGAAAGATCGGTGACGCAAATGATGGGGAAGCACTTATTGACATCCCAGAAGAGTTTTTAATTCTAGATATTGATGACCCAATAGAAGCTATAAGCACAGCAGTCTATGGAGATTCCACTTATTTACACGAGAAGGAGCCTAGATTTTTTCAAGAGAGAGCTATATTATGTCCTACAAACGAGGATGTGAACATGATCAATCAACACATGTTGGACAAGCTTGATGGTAAGTAAATAGTGTCTACATTTTAATGCTGCCGTATAATAATATTTTCCAAATTGTGTTCCACTATACTGATCGTTTTATGTACATTATTGCAGGAGAGGAAAAGATTTACTTAAGCTCTGATTCAATCGACGCTTCTGATAGGTTTTCACAGAACGACCAGGCTCTCACTCCAGACATTTTAAACAATATTAAGGTGTCAGGACTGCCACATCATTGTCTACGACTGAAAGTTGGTTGTCCTGTCATGTTGCTAAGAAATATAGATCCTGTTGGTGGATTGATGAATGGAACTCGGCTTCAGATTAAAGAACTGTATGACTTCATGATAAAGGCAAAGGTTATTACAGGGGAAAAGGTTGGTCGAACTGTGTTGGTTCCTAGGCTTTCAATAACTCCTACAGACAAGAAGTTGCCATTCAAAATGAGGAGGAGACAACTGCCTATTAGTGTGGCATTCGCTATTACTATCAATAAAAGTCAAGGACAAACATTGTCTGAAGTTGGTATTTTTCTACCAAGACCGGTTTTCTCACACGGACAACTATATGTGGCTGTCTCCAGAGTGACTTCTAAGAAAGGTTTGAAGATTTTAATTGTTGACAGCGAAGGCAAGCCTCAACGCAAAACAAAGAACGTGGTCTTTAGAGAGGTTTTNTTCTACCAAGACCGGTTTTCTCACACGGACAACTATATGTGGCTGTCTCCAGAGTGACTTCTAAGAAAGGTTTGAAGATTTTAATTGTTGACAGCGAAGGCAAGCCTCAACGCAAAACAAAGAACGTGGTCTTTAGAGAGGTTTTCGATACTCTATGATTTGAAGTTTTTTATTAAGTTATTAAGAACTATAAAATCTAAATTTTTGGTTATTTATTTTGACTCGCCTATTGGTTCTATATTACTAAGTTTATCTTAAATTGTTTTCAAACTTTTGGAAAAGTTCGATACTTAAAAGGATTCTAAAAATTTGATTCATGATAAGGAAAACACAGAATTGATGAGGCTCGAAAGCCTCAGTACCATGCAATGACTGTTTCTAACAAAATAACACATTAAATGCCAGAAAGTCAGATGCCAGCTTCATCTCTATAAATCTTTAACATACACTGACTCAACTGTAGGAAAGAGCTATACTGCAATCAAGATTCATCAAACAAACTTCCGGATTATTTTCCTAACTACCAGTTTAAGTTCGAACCCTAATTACTAGGATGTGAAGAAAGCAGAAAATGCACTTATTGTGGTCTGTATTCCTCTGCCGTAATGTCAAATATCCCATGTCCTTCAAATGATTAAAGCTCATTCTCTATTAAAGGAAGTGCTCGCCCTACACATGAAGCATGTCTATACTATTAAGTAAACTCATTATTGTATAAAACTTACATGTTTCTCATGTATAAGCCAAAAAATAAGCTAAAGTCGGAAACTTATCTGTTTACTGCTCTGTCTCTGATAATAGTGTCTCATTATATCACCTGAAAATAAAACGCAGTTATATGAACAGCCTTATATACAAAGCTTGGAAAGAAAGATCAAACTTTAAATGGGTACAATTGTTTATATATTTTACATTTCATAGTCCATACACGTTCAAGATAGTCCTAACTAAGCCCATGCATTTTAAATCCATGAAGAATACTCTCCAGCCCATCGGAATCGTCTTTATAATCACATCTTACAAATATATTCTCCGAATATAGAAGATACTTCATTATTGAAATCAATTCGAGTTACCTAATATCACGGGGCAAAGAATATACTGCAGCTTTCTAAATTGTAACAATATTTAAAAAAAAAAGATTAGGATTTTATAGTTTAGGAAATCTCTTTGTATATGATTTAGAAATATTTACATTGAAAGATTACGATTTTATTGTTTAGGAAATCTCTTCTTATATGATTTCGAGTATGCCGCAACGTTAACCTATAACCTAAACAACTCCCCTTTAACCTCTTCCTATTATTATAAATATTGAACACCCTCTCCACATTGAAACCAGTACCGTCAAAAAACTATGGCTTCTAATGAGAAAGTGACAGGCGTAAATGAGCTGAGGCCCTGGAAGAATACTTGGTTTGTTCATGTCAAGGTTCTACACTCTTGGAAACAAAACATCTCAGGGGAAACCATGGAATTCATATTGGCTGATGAAAATGTAAGCTTTTGTAACTGTCTTTTTTAATACTCAGAATTTGTTTTTGGTATTTAAATACCTATTTTAAAATGTAACAGGGCCATAAAATTCAGACAACATGCAAAAGGACTTATATTGAGAGTACCGGAAGCCTTCTTCCGGTTGGGCTATGGTGTTACATCAGGAATTTTCAGGTTAATCCTGCATTAGGAGGTTATCGATCAACAAATCATACATACAAGATGGTCTTTATTCAAAACACAACCATTACTCGATCCAATCACATGAGTGATGAGTTGTATCTAAGTTTGGCCAACTTTCAAACCATTTTGAATGGATCACTTGATGACAATATATTGATTGGTAATTATACAGTCATTTTGCATTTCAATCTATGTTCATTTGTATCAGTACTAACCTGTTTCCACTTTAATTGTTTCAAGATGTGTTGGGACAGGTGCAGGATTGTGGTGGGGTTGAAACAATCCAATGTATTGGGGGGAAACAACAAAAGAAGCTTCACTTTACCCTGCGTGACATCCAGTAAGTATTCTTGCTATTTAAAACATAAAAGTAATGTTCGTACACAAAACTGATAGTTGCAACTATCCTGTTTTCCACCGTGCTGTAGTGATTCACGGTTACCATGTTGCATCTGGGGCAATTTGGCTGACACTCTCCACTCTGTCTGCAATGAAGTAAATGAAATGGTTACAGTGATTATGAGGTTTGCTAAACTTGGGAGGTTTAGAGGTACATTTTAAACCCAAACTATTACCTTAATATGCATAATTTCATACTCTACATGACAGTTGAGTACTAATTTTAAAATTATGGTTTATTTGTATTTATTTAATTTAGTAGTATTGATGACCATTTGTTTTTTATATATGCTTCAGGAGAGTTACAAGTCTCTAATTCATTTGATTCATCTTTGGTGTTGATAAACCCAGAAATCTCTGAAGCACATGCTCTTAAACAAAAGTAAGCACTTCTGTACAAGATAATGCAAATTGTTCAAAATTATAATCAAATAATTATATTTACATTATATTCTCTTTTCGGTTTCATGGTGAAAATAGGTCTATTGTAATTTACAAACCTACAGAAGCCAATTTTCTGATCCAGCAGAAACACAAGAAATGGTCTCAGTTTCCATTCAAAACCATTCAGCAAATAAAACGAACAGATAAGGTTTGGTTCTCTTTGCTATTCGTTATTTGTAATACACAATATTAATAGA